GACTCGAGTCTATCATCATCTCTATGGTGATCAGGTGGCCTCCTTGTTGGTGTCCCACCTAAGGGCTTCTTCTCGGCGGCAGTATGAAGTTTCCTGGAGGTCCTTCCGTTTCTTTTTGCGTCTTCGTCGTGATAGCTCTTTGTCTGTTCGGGTGGTCTTGTCCTTCCTCTCGTGGTTGTTTCAGGACTGTCATCTTATGCCTAACACTGTCGCTTCGTATCATGCGGCGCTGGCGGAGCCGCTTCAGCTTGCTTTCGGTATCGATGTTACGTCTGCGCCGTTTCGCAAGCTGTCTCGTGCATTGTTTCACCTCCGGCCTGCTCATGCGTCGCCTGAGCCGTCCTGGTCTTTGGACAGAGTGCTCGCTTTCCTTTCATCTCCTCGTTTCGTTGTGGCCCCTTCGGTCCAGGATTGTTTTTCCAAGGCACTTTTCTTGTTGGCTTTGGCCTCTGGGGGTCGGGTAGGGGAGCTTCATGCTCTCCTCCGGCGCAGGGGTTTCTGCTCTTTTGGTCGTGGTGATAGTTTTGTTCGTTTGCAGCCGTCTCCTTCTTTTCTGGCGAAGAATGAGACTGCTGCGTTCCGGAGGGGTCCATGGGTGGTTGATGCTTGGTTGGTCAGGCCGGGGGTGCATCATGTTTTGTGTCCGGTTGCGGCGCTTCGCCGTTATTTGCGCGCCACAGCTTCTGTGTCCGGGGACGCGCTGTGGGTTGATCCGGTTTCCCTTCTTCCCTGTTCGCGGGTTCGGGTCTCTCAGGTCGTCCGCAGGGTTATTAGGTCCAGCCAGCCTGCGGTCTATCCCCGTGCCCATGACGTTCGTAAGTTCGCGGCTCTTCCTGCCGTCTTTGGGAATATGTCTTGGTCTGATATTCGGGCGCGGGGATTTTGGCGGTCAAACAGGGTCCTGGCTGCTCGTTACCTTGTGAATGTCCCTGGGCCTCGTCGGGCCTGTGTTGCTTTGGGTCGGCGGTTGCAGCCATTTGTCTCGGCTTCGAGTTGAGGGGTGAGCGACGACCGCCTCCCGGGTAAGTCCCTCTTTTTCTGTCTGTGGGTAGTTAGCTCCGGGGAGCCGACGGGGCTCCCCCCAGAAAACCAGCGTTGAATGTAATGAAACGCCATTTTCTGGGTGAGTCCCGGAGGCTCCCCGGCATCCCTCCCTCCCTCCGGTCGGCGGTTTTTCGCGTTTTTGACATCCAGCCTCAAGAACTGAGGTGTGGGTAGCCGGCGCGGGGGGTCTGGGGCTCCCCCTTCCCCCTCCCGGGGAGGGGGGAGCTGCGCAGACAGCGGCGCGGCAGTGTGTGACGTCACACAAGTTTGCTTGTTTTCGGTTGGGGAGTTCTATCCACTAGTTCGGTTTTAGGTAGCAATTTTAACCAGAATAGGGGTTTGTTTTGGGGCGCTTACCTTTCTGGGTGCCTGTTCCGGTCGATGGCAGACATAGAATGCTTCCAACTACACGGGGGCTTCTATAGGCCATTGCTCCCCTTGCCTCTCTGAGGGGGCCCGGTTCTGGCCGTGGTCCCCGGTAGGCCTAAGAACTCCATACACATGACTGATGCCAAAGTCTGACATTAGCATATCAGCCTGGGATAGCTCCGGGGAGCCTCCGGGACTCACCCAGAAAATGGCGTTTCATTACATTCAACGCTGGTTTTTTGAAACTTTTTTTGATATGTTTAGAATGTGTCCCTGGAAATTAAGCTTGTGGTCAATGAGAATGCCAAGGAATTTGCCATCTAATTTGTTACAAATTTGGGTATTGTTTATTTTGAGATTTATTTGATTAGAGGATTTATTGCCAAACAGAATATAGAAGGTTTTGTCAATGTTAAGGGTGAGTTTGTTGGCAGTCAGATATTATGTACCACGCCCTGCCCTGGTGACTCTCTATTACTCCCTTATCTATCCATATCTCAACTATGGTATTTGTGCTTGGGGCTCTAGTACCCAAAATCACTTACGTCCTCTAATTACTCAACACAAAGCTGCTATTTGGACAATATCCAATTCTGGCCCCAGACATCACTCGGTACCCCTACTCAAATCTCTGAATATGTTAGACATTAAGTCACTGCACATTCTCTCATGTGTATTATACATATATAAAACGCTAAACTATAATGCCAATCCTGATCTCAAAAGCTTCATAGAAGGTTGTAACAGAACCCATGAGCACCACACCAGAAATAAATACAGTTTTGATATTCCTAGAGTACGACTTAATCAAACTAGAAATGCTCTACAAATCAAGGGGCCCAGAATGTGGAATGACCTTCCCAACTATGTTAAAGACTGTACCTCTCTCAACCAGTTTAAGTTAAAAGCGAAGCTATACCTAATAAATTCCCTGTAACCTACCTTACCCTTCTATTGTCAACCAATGTCTGTTTTTTCTTTAAAGAGCGCTGTTTGTCGACATAATTGTATTTGTGCTGCTTTTTCATCTATGTTTTCATTTCTAGTTTTCATTCTACTCATTATGCTCAATTAGTATTAAGCTTGTCATTTAAGTTTATCATGCCCGAAACGCTTTGCGTAATAGTGGCTTTAGGCATTGTATGTACTAGCTCTACCTATAAGTCAACCATTCCTTGTAAAAATTTATTGTATGTATGTACCTTACCTAAATAAAATTGTATTGTATTGTATTGTATAATTACTTATGGCCCTTTAGTAAAGTAAAGTAAGTAAATTTTATTCAGGAAAGTACATTCATAGTTGTTTTACAAAATAATGTTGGATTTATAGATAGAACTAGCACATACAATACCTAAAGCCACTAGTACACATAGCTTTTCGGGCAAGGTGAGGTGGGGGGAAAAAATCTTTGACTAAAACTTAATAGTAATTGAGCTTAAAGTATAAATTGCGTTGATAAAATATAATAAAATAAAAAAAATAAAAGATAAAAAAGGCGGGAACATGGTAGAAAATAGCCAATATACAAGTTGGTTAGCAAACAGCAGTGTTTAAAAATAGTAAGACATGGGTTGACATTTAGGGGTAAGGTAGGTTACATGGAGTTAATTTGGCAGCACTTAGTTTTCATCTTAAACTGGTTGAGAGAGGTACAGTCTTTAACATGATTGGGAAGGTCATTCCACATTCTGGGTCCCTTGATGTGTAGAGCATTTCTAGTTTGATTAAGTCGTACTCTTGGAATATCAAAACTGTATTTGTTTCTGGTGTGGTGCTCATGGGTTCTGTTACAACCTTCAATGAAGCTTTTGAGGTCAGGATTGGCATTACAGTTCAGCGTTTTATATACTGTATGTATAATACACATGAGAGAATGTGCAGTGACTAAATGTCTAACATATTCAGAGATTTGAGTAGGGGTACCGAGTGATGTCTGGGGCCAGAGTTGGATATTGTCCTAATAGCAGCTTTGTGTTGAGTAATTAGAGGACGTAAATGATTTTGGGTAGTAGTACCCCAAGCACAAATACCATAGTTGAGATATGGATAGATGAGGGAATAATAGAGCGTCACCAGGACAGGGCGGGGTACATAATATCTTAGAAAGAATGCCAACAGTTTTTGAAACTTTTTTTGATGTATTTAGAATGTGTCCCTGGAAATTCAGCTTGAGGTCAATTTCTGTTTTTGTTTCTCAGATTAAGGACCTGCCCGAAATGCTGCACGTACTAGTGGCTTTACAAGAATGTAATTACTATGCTATGTATCCTCACAATCCCAATGTACCTTCTTGTATATATATAAATAAATAAATAAATAAATAAATTACCTTGTGTTGCTCCGTCCTTGACCCCCCCCCCCCCCATAGAGGGTCCCTTTTCCTAAATTTTGTAAATCCCTGACCTACATCACTAAAGCTTTTACCCTTCCTACAGTTCTGAAACGCCTTTTCCTTGAACACTTTTCTTCACACTCCCGCTCCATTTCCATCTTCACCGATGGATCTAAGTCTGCAGACGGTGTAGGCTACTCTGTTGTTTTCCTTGACCACACCTATATGTGTGTCGCCTGCCTCCGACTAGCATCTTCATGGCAGAACTTTATGCTCTTTGTCTATTGCTTTCTCTGTCAATCCTCCTTTGTGATTGTAGCTCTCGCAGTGCCCTCATGACTCTGGAGTCCTTTAATCCAGTCCATCTGGTGGTAGTCGTGATTCAACATTGGCTGTTTATCTCCAGTAGATTTAAGACAATAGAGTTTTGCTGTGTTCCCAGCCATATTGATGTCTTTAAATGAGCGTGCAGACACAGACGCTAAGGAAGCTATCTGCACTTGTCCCATCTCCCGTAAAGGTATTCCTTGTTCCGACTTTTACCCAGTTATTCATTCCTCCACCCTTGCCCGTTGGCAGGGATGTTGGTCTTCTGTTACTGGTAACAAACTGCATACTCTTAAGAGTAGTGTGACCCTATGGCCTTCCTCCTTCCACCATAACCCACGGTGGGAAATAGCTCTGGCAAGGTTGCATATTGGCCATACACGCTTAACTCACAGACACTTAATGGAGTGCTGCCCTGCTCCTTATTGTCCAAACTACCTTGTCCCTCTTACAGTCGTGCATATCCTTGTTGAATGTCCTGACTACAAGGACGTGCCTGTGTTTTACTTTCAAACCGTCCCTTTCGGTCACTTGTCCCTCAATAGAATTCTTGGTGAATCGGATACTTTTGATATTGTTCGTCTTATGCGTTTCTGTTCTCATATTGGCATCCTTAGTGATATTTACTGTCCTATGATTATTCCGCACAGTTGATGGTTACATAGCCTTCCTGGATTGGTGCCTTCTTTTTATAATTACTTACTTTACTCAATACCTTGTGTTCAAGAAACTTTATTAAATTACACATTTACATTTTCTTTCCATTACAGTATTATTAATGTTAAAAAGTATTGTACTATTGACAATATATAATGTAATATGTACTGTATAATACAATAGTCAATGCCTGTCATCATTATGTATCACCTTCATACTGTATATCATTTATGTGTATTAGTGGCTTAATTTAATATACAATTTTGAATCAAATTAAAAAATTTATTTAATTAAGAAATGTAACATGTTTTTATGTATATTATATAAATGAATTATAATTACAGTATAACCAAAATATTCACCATTCATCTGCATATGACTACAGTACAGAATTAGAAATACAAAATAACATATAAGCTTGAATTAAAATAATACAAATTAAAGTAATGTTTCAGATTAAATATTAACCACAGAAGATAAACAAATTAATAGATTTGACAGAAATATACACTGTTTATACTAACATTAGAATAATAATATATTATAATAATTATTATTATTATTATTATTTCCACCAAGCAAATAATTATCAAATAAACTTTTCAAGCCAGTGTGGCTATATAATGTTATCACTGAAAATCATATTAAAAATTCCCTATCTACTGTATATCACTCTGAATGCCTCAATTGAAGCCATACGGATATAACTGTACCAAAAGTTTAAGCAGGTGGATTCAGAGTTTATCAAGATACAGTTTATGTCAAGGGACAACAGAAGATCAAATTTTCTGCTTATCCTGAAAATCAATAAATTCTACTAGCAAATGATTGTATGTGTAATAATGCAACCTTCAGTGGCCCATATGTAACTGGATGTTTTCTCCTACCTGTACAGTATTAGTTATAAGAAGGCCAAATAGATAGGTCACATTTTATGCTAATTAAGTTGTCACTGGCTGCAAAAAACTACTGGCTGGTCTATCATAGGCCTAAATAGAAGTGTTGATCCTGTTTAATTAAACTGGTATATTCAAATGTTATTCAGGAGACCTGTTATATAAACAATTACAGTACAGCATTAGAGTAATACAGTACTATGAAGATTACATTTCCCTGAACACAACTTTATACAACTATAAGAAACAAAATATAAAACATACATAAATAGCAGGTACTGTATAACAGTACAGTACTTATTACTGTTGTAAGGGACAGGAAGTGTGTGTGTGTGTGCTTAAGCTTACTGAGGTCCACCTATACTAACACATCTTTATCCAACTACTGCAGCAGGTACAGTACTACTTCTAGCAGGGAGTATTCATATATCAAATAATTTATCATAAACATTGTGTAAAGGGAAAATACTAACAATTTCATGATTCCTTATCAGAATCCAATTATTTTAATTTAGCTCTTTAAAAGTTCTTCAATAAATATTTTATATTTATAGTCAAGAGCAATGTTAATAAGATGCAAATATTTATCTTCATTAATGGTCCATTCTGAAAAATGTCTTTTTTGTAAAAGTTTGGTAATAACTGTTTTAGTGTTCCTGAGTAGAAGTTGTGAGGAGAGGTCAAATGATGCCAGTAACTTTTCTCCAGCCACATCCTTATGCAAGCTACCATCGCAGTCACATTTTGTGCATTTAAAGGTAATAATTTCTCTGCTCTTTCCTAAACCGGGAATATAGCTCATGGGGCCCGATAATACTTCTCTAGTTATTTGATGATCATCTTTACATCTAACACAGTGCAGGATGCTTGGAACTTGCTTATCATCATGTTTTGGATTATGATATTTCTTAGCATTCTCATAAAGAGGTCCCATGCTGCTGATGACTCCCATTCCTGCAGCTAGGATGCCCTTTGATCCTCCAAGAAAAAGTAAATCAATACACTCATTTGAATTAAAGGAATTACCCCTGCAGACTTCCATAGCAAATGACTTTAAAATGGACTCTACATCAGAAACACCAGATTCTTGAGTACATTTCAAGTGATTAAACACTACAGCTTGCTCCCAAACTTGCTCACATTTCTCAAGTGCTTCTTTAGTCATATATTTATGATCTTTACATAAATGTACAAAGTTCTTCAGTTCTTCTTTTAGATCTCTTGCTGCTGATTCAATAACTTTTCCTGAATAAACTTTATTCTGTAATGCTTTAAAAGTATTTACCGAGAGCTGTGGAAGATCCAGCAAGAGCTTTAAACACTTTTTCCAGCTCTTATAACCCATCCTCCAATATAACTTGTCGAACTCATCTATTTCTTGTACTTTGTTATTAGTGGCAGAATTATTAAACTTAAAGAATGTCTTTGATTTTATGTTACAGTTTCTCATAGCTTCAACAACAAGAGGAATCTCTTGATTGTCAGCAGCAGTAACAAACATAATCAAGTGGTGTGCAACACTCTGCCCAAATAGTGATGAAACGTAGTCTAAGATAAGCCGTTCTGAAGATGTTAATCGTACCAGATGAGCTTGAACTACAAACCCAATGGCATGGATATCAATTTTATGTGAAGCTGCATTTGCCAGGAATTGCTTAATATCATCCACTTCTTTTCTAGAAGAATCATTTAGTCCTGGAGTGTCAATAACAGTAATAGGGGCATGATTTTCATCAGTGCAAAATGTGTATGCAGTAATTGTTGTTGTTGGTTTAGCACTACTTGAGTTTGCATCTACATAGACTAGCATATCATCTGCTACTTTAGCTCCTTGGAAGTAATTGGCAATAAAGTTTACCAATGTTGTTTTTCCGCTTCCAGAAGCTCCAAGGAGAATTACAACCTTTTCTTTATGGTTTGAGATAGAATTACCATAAAATTTTCTTTCCATACCAGATGGATCTTTCTGTGATTTGACCGGGTTTATAATATGTGGTTTAATATTTTTGCTGCTGGTATTCTCTTTCCTGTCTGTCAGGGTTGAATAGTCTCTTTGATTTTGAGCCGAAAGAGATCTTGAATTATCTTTTGTTTCAGAATTTCCTTTTTTAAGACTCTTTGCCATTTTCTGGCTCCTTCCATTGGGCTCTTGGAGACTTCTGTTATTATTTTTACCTTTTTTGGAGAGAGTCACATCAGAGTCTTTTGTAACATTTTGACTGTCTGTTTTCTCTTTTTTGGAGAGAGACAGGTCAGAATCTTTCATGTTTTGGCTTTCTGTTTTTCCTTTATTGGAGACAGACATGTCAGAATCTTTCATAATGTTTTGCCTGTCTGTTTTCCCTTTTTGGGAGACAGATATGTCAGAGTCCTTCATAATGTATTTAGAACAATCAATGTTCTGGCTTGTTCTATAACAAGATTTGGTTACTTGTGCTTGTGAGCAGCTTGAATTTGATGGGCTAGTTACCTTGGGAAGAATAGTTTTGCCACAATTTGAAGAACTTTTAGGACATATTAGCTCTTTTTGAGCTGCTCTTTGAGGGCAGTGACCAAGACATGAATCATTGCTGCATGCTATTGTTAGATTTTCCTTTTGTGAACACACTAAAGGCTCTTCAACATTTTGAACATCACTATAAAGATTGTGAGCTTGACAGGTGCCACAGATACATGCGAGTGTTTGAAGTTCCTGTCCAGATGAAATTAAAGGCACCCTTTGAACATCTGAATGATCATAATCATTTTGACAAATGCCACTGCTGCTTGTTAATGTATGATATCCCTGTCTTTTAGGCACACTATGCTCTTCTTGAAGATCTCTATGCTGAGAGATAGCATGATGAGTGTCATTGCTGCTTGTTAATGATTGTTGTCTCTGTCGTTTAGTCACAATATGCTCTTCTTGAACATCTCTGTGATGGGAGTGAGCTGGATGTGTGCTACTACAGCTTGTTAATGTATGACATCCCTGTCCTTTAGTCACAATATGCACTTCTTGAACATCTCTGTCATGAGGGTGAACTGGATGAGCACCACTGCTGCTTGTTAATGTATGATATCCCTGTCCTTTAGTTACAATATGCACTTCTTGAAAATCTCTGTGATGGGGGTGAGCTGGATAAGTGTCACTGCTGCTTGTTAATGTATGATATCCCTGTCCTCTAGTCACAATATGCACTTCTTGAACATCTCGGTGATGGGGGTGAACTCGATGAGCACCACTGCTGCTTGTTAATGTATGACATCCCTGTCCTTTAGTTACAATATGCACTTCTTGAAGATCTCTGTGATGGGGGTGAGCTGGGTAAGTGTCACTGCTGCTTGTTAATGTATGATATCCCTGTCCTTTAGTAACAATATGCTCTTCTTGAACATCTCTGTGATGAGAGTGAGCTGGCTGAGTGTCACTGCTGCTTGTTAATGCTTGTTGTCTCTGTTCTTTAGCAACAATATGCTCTTCTTGAACATCTCTGTGATGAGAGTGAGCTGGATGAGTGTCACTGCTGCTTGTTAATGCTTGTTGTCTCTCTCCTTTAGTCACAATATGCTCGTCTTGAACATCTCTGTGATGGGAGTGAGCTGGATGACTGCCACTGCTGCTTGTTACTGCTTGTTGTCCATGTCTTTCAGTAACAATATGCTCTTCTTGAACATCTCTGTGCTGGGAGTGAGCTGGATGAGTGCCACTGCTGCTTGTTAATGCTTGTTGTCTCTGTCCTTTAGTCACAATATGCTCTTCTTGAAGATCTCTGTGCTGAGAGTTAGCATGATAAGTGCCACTACTGCTTGTTAATGCCTGTTGTCTCTGTCCTTTATTCACAATATGCTCTTCTTGAACATTTATGTGATGGGGGTGAGCTGGATGAGTTTCACTGCTGCTTGTTAATGCTTGTTGTCCATGTCCTTTAGTCACAATATGCTCTTCTTGAAGATCTCTGTGCTGAGAGTTAGCATGATAAATGCCACTACTGCTTGTTAATGCCTGTTGTCTCTGTCCTTTATTCACAATATGCTCTTCTTGAACATCTCTGTGCTGGGAGTGAGCTGGATGAGTGCTACTACAGCTTGTTAATAATTGTTGTTTCTGTCTTGGAGACTGAAAATGTTCTTCTTGGACAATGATGCGAGGAGGTTGAGCTTGACAAGTGCCACTGTTACGTACCAGTTTTTGAAGTCCTTGTGGCACTACAGACTCCTCAGGACTAACACTTCTTTCTTTATCACTGTTTTTCCCAGTAAGATCTTTCGCATATGAAACATTTGTTGTTATTGATGAATCACTATTCCCATTAATATTTTGTCCAGAGTTTAATGGTCGACTTGATATTAGCTGATTTGGTTTCCCAAGAAGCACTGTCATTGGTAATTTTGAAACACAAGAATTTTGTAGTAAATGGCAGTATTTTGTTTTACTTTCCTCAATGTCAGCTATTCTGACACCAGTGGAAAACAAATTTTCATAAATAAATGCACAATTAAAAGTCTTCAAAACTTCCTCTGAGAAAATACATTCAGAATTTTCATACAGTATTTTGAGCAGAGATTCTTCAATTTGTTTTTTGACATCATCCTCTATTTTATTTGTAAAAATTAATAACATATCAGCAAAATATTTATGATTGACTGCAACAACAGTATGCATTAGGTCATGAGCTGCAATGTTAGAGCCTCTGATTTCCATGATTTTGACTCCATTTACAAACAGTGCATTACTACAGTTAATTCTGCCCAAGTCTTTACTAAAAGAATTTTCAGAGGAGTAATGTTTTCTATTCTCTAACTGTTTTCCACTCTGAATTCTAATATTATATTTTATGCATGAATTAGTATCACTCTTAAATGCCTTGTCATTAGGGTAAAACTTTCTGTTTGATTTGCAGAATGTCCATCCAGGAGCCACTTCTTTCTCAGCAGCATAAATTTCTTCAAGATCTTGCTTTCTAGAAAGTAAAAGTAAAATATCAGTACATACAGCATAAACTTTTATTTAAATTATTAGATGGTAAAAGAAGTTTGAATGTGAGTGCACCAACTATGAGGATTTTAGCAGAATTTTTGTACATTCAAAAATTTTTGTGTTAATTTTTATCATCAATATTATAACTTTTTTTGAACAAATCCACAAGTGATGAGGGTTTGAACCTACAGAGCACCACTTGGTTTCTGAACCCCTTAGGGATGAGACCCGTTAGTTATCGTGTAAGTTGATAACAAGAATGGAGGAAAATGGACAGAGAATTTTTTTTTAAATTTAGCAAAAAATTCTAAGGGAAAAAATCGACAGATTCATAGCATAAATGCAACAAATGAAATAAAGTTCATTTGCGTTCACTCACCCCCATCCTCACTACATCTCCCCCTCACTGCCTCTCCCCCCTCATTGCCTCACTGCCTCTCCCCTTCGGTACCTCACTGCCTCTCCCCCTCAATGCCTCATCGCCTCTCCCCCTCAATGCCTCATCGCCTCTCCCCCTCAATGCCTCACCGCCTCTCCCCCTCAATGCCTCACCGCCTCTCCCCCTCAATACCTCACCGCCTCTCCCCATCAATGCCTCACCGCCTCTTCCCCTCAATGCCTCACTGCCTCTCCCCCTCAATGCCTCACCGCCTCTCCCCCTCAATGCCTCACTGCCTCTCCCCCCTCAATGCCTCACTGCCTCTTCCCCTCAATGCCTCACTGCCTCTTCCCCTCAATGCCTCACTGCCTCTTCCCCTCAATGCCTCACTGCCTCTCCCCCTCAATGCCTCACTGCCTCTCCCCCTCAATGCCTCACTGCCTCTCCCTCTCAATGCCTGCCATCCCTCCTTCCTCATAACATAAGAACAGCAGGCTATGGAGGAGGGGGAGCTACTAACGGGGTCAGGAACTACTAACAGGGTGGAGGCTGTGTAGAGGCGGACATATCTGTCAGTGCCTGCTCACAGATGCCATCTGTGCATAATTCATAAATAAAACTATATTTGTTTAATTAATAAATAGGAAATCATATAACATGTTAATGATAAATAATGTATATTAATATATGAAAATTAACATTTTGGCATAAATAATTTACAACTAAGATTAAAATTTGTAATACAATATGGGCAATAAATTTGGCAACCATCGCCTGGTCAGCAAATCCTTCCTCACTGCCTCCCTCACCACTCCACCAACAGAGAGGGGGGCAGAATTAGTGAGAGAGGAGAAAAAATGGGAGAGGGGGAGAATTAGTGAGAAAGGGAGGGAGGGGAAGGTATGGAGGGAGGGAAAGACAGTCAGGCAGCCAGCTTGCTTGTCTGCCTTTCCCTTCCTCCCTAATTCTCCCATCCTCCCCTCACTACTTCCATCCTGCCTATCTCCCCTTCCCTTTCTCTCTAATTCTCCCCCTCTCTCACATACTGCCTTCCATCTAAGCTCCCCCATCCACCAACCAGTCAGCAATCACTGACGCAATGCGTGCATTTGGAGCCGACATGGTGCACAGATGTTTCTTGATTGTGCAGATATATAAAACAAAATTACAGAATAAACTCTCCAGCCTCGTGACAAATCAAAATTACAGTAATAGGAAAAATAGGCCGTGAATCTGTGAAATCACAGGGTAGAAGGCGGCAAACTGGACCATCTCCCACCCATCACCACGGGCCGGCGCGACGCTTGGCAGACTGCTTCCTACCCGAACTTTGTTCATGTAGCATGACTCCCCAGCCCCAATCAGGAAACTGGAAGTTTCGATTAACTAAAGTTCGGAAACCAAGTGGTGCTCTGTACTTCCGAAAGGATCTCAGACGCTACCTTAATCGACTTAGCTACGACATGGTGAAAGAATTGCAACCGGAAAATCCTCTTGATTTACCAATGGATCCTGCAGTCTCTCCGAGACACAAACCAGGGTTTTACGCAATTCCCTAATGTACTCGTGCTATGTCAATAGACAGTTCTACCTCTTCGCCCTTACTTTGTAGTATCGTATTGCACCCCAGGCCTCAGGAACCATCTTACGCCACACACAACACACAAAACAATGCCAACCTATAAGTACTTTAATTCCACACACAATCACATACATAAACACACATACACACACATTTGCTCAAACACACACACACACAAGATATACTAGGTGAGTACATACACACACAAGGTATACTAGATGAGTACACACACACACACACACAACTCGATCCTATCTTGTTTCTGATATATGTAAATGATCTCCCGGAGGGTATAGATTCATTTCTCTCAATGTTTGCGGACGATGCCAAAATTATGAGAAGGATTAAGATAGAAGAGGACTGTTTGAGGCTTCAAGAAGACCTAGACAAGCTGAAGGAATGGTCGAACAAATGGTTGTTAGAGTTTAACCCAACCAAATGTAATGTAATGACGATAGGTGTAGGGAGCAGGAGGCCAGATACAAGGTATCATCTGGGAGAGGAAATTCTTCAGGCGTCAGAGAAAGAAAAAGACTTGGGGGTTGATATCACGTCAGACCTGTCTCCTGCAGCCTATATCAAGAGGATAACATCAGCGGCATATGCCAGGCTGGCCAACATACGAACGGCATTCAGAAACTTGTGTAAAGAATCATTCAGAACTTTGTATACCACATATGTCAGGCCATATATACTATATGGCTATTTGTATACCACATATGTCAGGCCATATATACTATATGGCTATTTGTATACCACATATGTCAGGCCATATACAGGCCATACCATACTTGTACAAGTAAACTGGTATGGTGCAAAAAGACCATAGTGGTCACCAGTAATCAACATTTTATGTCGAGCAGATGACGCCACCTCCCTCACCAAAATGGTGGCTCCCAACCTACTACTATTGCTGTTTATTTATTTATTTATTTATCCATATACAAGAATGTACAATGGGAATGTGAGGATACATAATATGGTAATTACAGTCTTGTAAAGCCACTAGTACGCGCAGCGTTTCGGGCAGGTCCTTAATCTAAGAAAATTTTAAGGAGGTAAATATTTGCATAATTTAAAGACAAAAAAATGATAACAGTTACATGGAATGAAAAAAAAGAAGATGAGAGAAAATTGTAGGTACAGTATATTAAAGCACATAGGTAGCTAAGATTGATTGCAATGACAGCTTGAATGGTAGTTGACAAAAATTGGTAGGCACAATACAGCAGAAACAATATAAGATTGATTGCAATGACAGCTTGAATGGTAGTTGACAAAAATTGGTAGTCACAATACAGCATATGGCTAGCACATAAAAGAAGACAGCAATGAACACAATGATAAGGTTGTTTGATACTACATAAAAATTAGGAGATTGGGTAACACTTCGTACAGAGCAAATTTAAAGCTCAGTGTAGGAAACTAAGAAGATGAAATTAGGTACTTTTTGGTTTTGCTTTTAAATAAGGCAAAAGTTTTACAGTTTTTCAATTCACTAGGGAGTGAGTTCCATAGACTAGGTCCCTTAATTTGCATAAGAGTATTTACACAGATTAAGTTTGACCCTGGGGATATCAGAGATATTTATTTCTGGTGTGGTGATAATGGGTCCTATTACATCTGTCCAGGGAGAGTTTCAGAGCATGGTTTGCATTTAAGAACAGGGTTTTATAAATGTAGTTGACACACGAGAATGTGTGGAGGGAGTTAATATTTAGCAAGTTTAGGGATTTAAACAAGGGAGCTGAGTGTTGTCTGAAAGCATAGTTAGTTATCATTCTGATAGCAGATTTTTGCTGTGTGATGATGGGCTTAAGGTGGTTTGCAGTGGTAGACCCCCATGCACAGATACCATAATTAAGATAGGGGTAGATTAGTGCATAATATAGTGAGAGGAGATCAGAGTTAGGAACATAATATCTGATTTTGGAGAGTATACCATTAACTGTCTTAGAGACTTTCTTAGTTATGTGTTGAATGTGGGTGCTGAAGTTGAGTCTCTTGTCTAGAAATAGGCCAAGAAACTTGCCATTATTTTTATTACTGATGTTAATGTTGTCTATCTGTAGTTGAATTGCATTTGATGATTTGCTTCCAAATAAGATGTAGTAAGTCTTTTCGATGTTTAATGTTAGTTTGTTCGTTGACATCCATAAGTGGACTTTTTTTAATTCATTATTCACAACATTATTTAGTGTATGTGGTTTGAGGTCTGAATAGATAAGGGTAGTATCGTCAACAAACAATATAGGTTTGAGAATATTAGAGACATTAGGCAGATCGTTTATATATATAAGAAATAGAAGAGGTCCTAAGATACTGCCCTGTGGCTCTCCAACGGAAATTGGTAGAGTGGAAGAAGTTGTATCATTGATGGTTACACGTTGGTGTCTGTCACTAAGATACACTAAGATAGGATCGGATGTAGTCAAGGGCAAGGCCTCGGATTCAATAATGCTGGAGTTTAAGTAAGAGGTAGTTGTGATTAACAGTAACAAAGGCTTTTCTTAGGTCAATGAAGAGTCCAATCGGAAACTCATTTTTGTCAAGGGCTGAGTAGATTACGTCAAGGAGACTAATGATTGCATCATTGGTGCTCTTTTGGGACCGGAAGCCAAACTGGCAGGGGCTGAGTATGTCGAATTTTACGAGGTAGGAATAGAGCTGTTTGTAAATAATTTTTTCAAATATTTTTGATAGAATGGGTAGATTTGATATTGGTCTATAATTGTTTATGTCCGCCGGATTGCCTCCTTTATGGACTGGCGTTACTCTTGCTTTTTTGAGGATATCAGGGAAGGTGTGACACTCTATAGATTTGTTGTACAGTAGTGCTATGGGTGGGGCAAGGGCATGGGAGGCTCTCTTGTACACAATGGATGGAATTTCACTGGTGTTCCCTGCCTTGGTTTTTAGAGAGTGTATGATGGACACAACATCTGCCGGGCTGATTGGTGAAAGGAGAAGAGAGTTTGGATAGCTGCCTGAGAGATATGTGTTAATATGTGTCTGAGTCTGT